GATTTCTTTGGGTTAGCTTGGCCATTAAAATACATATATATGACAGTTGATGCTATTTTAGAACAGATCTTATCCACACACAGTGGCAATTTGGTGAGAAAATTCTATCTTAAACGATAGAAAATCCAAATCTATATGCTTATTACCATGTCTGTAATTCTCAGAAACGTTATTGTTCGCGATTCCTGATTAGAGGGCCGGGGATTACTCGATTGTGATTACGTGAGCTATTTCCGTGAAAGGTTTTCGTTTACCGACTACCGTTGTCATCACTGAGCTAGACAGAAATAAGTGCTTGACTTTTTTCATTTTTATCAGTTAGGCTAAAAACAAGCGTTTTAAAATTTAGAACATTTGTAACGTTTAATTCTTGGAGTGTAAGGGAAGTTAAATATCATTATCTTAGAAATAATCTCCCTGTCCTTTTCCAAGTCCTCGTAGAGCTAATTGGACTCAATTCTAAGGCACTTCATTATTATTTTTTGGGTAAGAGACAACCGAATCAATACACACCCACCCAATCATGATTCATCCACACGAAAAACCATTACAGACTCTTATTCCTTTAAAATCTGGCAATTATTCAGCCATAAGCCGATAACTACTTGTGGTCTATCTTTTGTATGCGTGTAGAAAATTTCGAAGTTAATCGTCTCACTCCCCTGTACTTATAGAAGGGGTCAATCCTTCATCAATATGAAAAGGCTCTTTTTTTTTCCAGAAAAATGTTGTCTCCATTAGCTCGGCTGAGTTTCTTAGGAAGCCTTGTCATATATTATTGGACGCGTTACTCGGCGGTCTGTTTGGATGCCAAACATCGTTTCCATAACGACAAACCAAGAGCCAATGAGCCATAATGATTACGGCAGACCAAAACCAGCCATCTTTGTTTAATACAAATTGCAGGGCTTTTATAATTGCTGCCTGACGGTTTTGATGAAAGTATCGAAACATCATAATCGAAGTTGCGTTAGTCCTTACATGATCCATGTACTTCAATGTTTAAATAAGTCCGTTATGGTGAAGTTTCTTCGATCAATTAAATACTCATGTCTTACAGTGACTGATGATAATGCATGTAGGCCAGTCGTATATTTAAATGGAGAAACTCATTGTCTTGAATGCAAACCGTTAAAAGACTTTTCTTGCTTTCCTCTATCATCCGAATGAGGAATGATCATTTTTCTGTTACACCTTTCAATTTCAGAGGCATCCAGGGCGGTTGTGGTTCCGCACAAGAGGAAGTATTTGAGTTCCCAGGGAAACACGGTTTCTTTCAGGCACAGATTGATTCTTTCTCTGCAGTGGATGGGAAAGGAGCCCAATCATATAAAAATCAAATTCATCTGCAACCGAATGTGCCCAAATTTGATATCCAGGTTCCAGAAGAGTCCAACATCGACCCTGCTCTGCAAATGACACAACCGTTTCAGGAAATCGTGGGGCTTAAGAATCAGGAAGGGGCAAGTTCAGAACTTGTCAATGAGGGCAACAATAAGCAGGTGCCACAATCTTCTTTAGCATACTTGGAGCTGCTGAGTAATTACGCAGGCAGGTTCAAGAAGTTAAGGGTCCAAGACATAACCGACTCGAACAATAGTGAAGCTCATGCAGGTCACCAGGATTTGTCAGCTGAAGAAATAATAAGAGTGGCTGGAGCAAGGTACGTACAATTTTCTACTCATTGGTGTGATGATTATTGCATGCCTCTGCACCCATATGCCTCTGGTCTCGAGGATCTGTCTGAAAAAGAAAATAGAGATGTTGAACTTGCACAGTTTCTTCTTGCTGCGGCCGAGAGGGTTAGTTGCCAACAGCTTGAACGTGCAAGCAGGATGCTTCTTCATTGCTTATTTAATTCATCTCCTGGCGGAAATGCTATGCAGAGAGTTATCTTTCATTTCGCTCAAGCACTTCGAGAGAGAATTGAAAAAGAAGCAGGGGGCACCATTTTGATGGGTTGTCCAAAGAACATAGAAAACGAGTTAATTCAAAACTTGGATACCAACATAGCCCTTGCTTGTCATCAGAAAATTCCTTTCAACCAAGTGATGCAATTCGCTGGTGTACAAGCTATGGTGGAGCACGTTGCACATGATACAAAAATCCATGTTATAGATCTTGATATCAGGCGTGGAATTCAGTGGACGTGTTTGATGCAGGCACTCGTAGGGAGGAACGAAAGCAGAGTGGAGCTCTTGAAGATAACTGCTATAGGAATTGTTGGCCAGCCTACTGTAGAAGAAACTGGCAAAAGATTGACGAGTTTCGCTAGATCGTTGAACTTGCCATTCGCATATAAGCAAGTTTATGTTACAGACATGATCGAAATTACAGAACAACATTTTGAAATTGAAGATGATGAAGCCGTGGCTGTCTACGCTCTGTATGTACTTAGGACTATGGTATCAAGGCCAGCTTGCTTGGAAAACCTGATGAGTGTAATAAGAAATATCAAACCAATTATAATGGTAGTTCTTGAAGTGGAAGCCAATCATAATTCATCCTCATTCGCAATTCGCTTCATTGAAGCATTGTTCCACTACTCGGCGTTTTTTGATTGCCTCGAGACCTGCTTAAAAGGTGAAAACAGGAGCAGAATGGCAACGGAAGCAATATTATCTGAAGGGATACGAAACATTGTTGCTGCGGAAGGGGAGAAAGAACAGTGAGGAATGTGAAGATAGAAGTGTGGAGGAGGTTCTTTGCAAGGTACGGAATGGTGGAAATTGGATTTAGCGAGTCATCTCTGTACCAAGCTAGCTTGGTGGCCAAAGAATTCGCCAGCGGCAAATTTTGCACTCTGGACACAAATGGAAAATGTCTTATGGTTGGGTGGAAGGGGACCCCATTGCATACCGTTTCAGCTTGGAGGTTCCTTTGAGAGCATAATTGAAAGATTTAATTTGACAAATTTGCGCGCACCTTCAATCCACGGATAAGTCTGACATAAGTTTTTGTTCAGTACATCAACGTATAATTACTAGTACTGTCCCCCCCCCGGGGCAATACACTTAGATTGCTTTATGTGAGTTTATGTATGTCATGTTTAAATGCATGAGATGCATATGTGTGCAGAAAAAAGTTGGGAGATATTGTCTAAATTGCAAAATAAAATGCAACTGCTCATTCTATGCACACGGAGCTCCCCAGCCCTGACTGCCTGGAAGGAGGTATTGAGGAGGCTCGGGATTCAGATTAAAAAAATACCAACTTTTCAAGTTTTATTAAGAAAATGAGTCATTTTTTCACAGTATCCTTTCAAATTAATTAAATTTTTTTAATTAACTTTTCCATTCACTTATTTTCTTTATTAAAAAAATTTATAACCCTAGTCACACACACTTCGGCTCCCTTTCAGCTAAAGAAGTGCTAATTATCCAATATCATGAGAATTATTGAAATTAATCGGTCAATGATAAGGGAATTGACAAATCAATTGACAAGTCACGTGTCTTTTTCTTTCATTTAATTAGGAGTTTCCTTTTTTTAGGCTTAAAGGTCTTCTTCTCTCCCAACAAGTATACTTTTTGGAATTCAAATTTGTGTTTTCTTCTTTACGAGAATAAAATCATTTACCACCTTAACCAATAACTTGTTGGTCATATGTTTATTTTTTGTTGTTGGGGCTAAAAAGCCAGCTACCTAATTCTTCTTCTTCATTTTTTTTTTAATAAGAAGGGAGCTCAGCCAGTTACACTGGGTCTGACCACTGTTACTAGAATCCTTCTCTAAGTAGGCATCTAACCCTGTAAAGCTATCATGGAACGGATGAAAACAAGAGAGACAAGAGAGGACCCTTTTGACAAGAAAGTCTGTTACTACGGGGTGTTTTGGATATTTCGGAGGTATTTTTAAAAATATTTTTTCTCAAATTGAAATAAATTTTTTATATATTTATTTCATCATAAAATCATAGTTTAATTTTCATTCAAAAACTCTCTATATTTAGCATCTCAATGAATCGCCTGTACTTGCACGGTCCAACTCTCTAGCCAGTAGGTGCCGAACGTCTTGGATGATGTTGAAGTTTGCACGTTCAGGGAGTCCGCCAATCTTTCTATGACAAGGTATTTTGAGTCTTGGTAAGAAGTCAATCCATTTATGCGTCACACGGCACCCAGGTTGACCTGATATTATGTGCAGGGGTCCTCCTCTTTTATCTTGCATTATTCCAATAACATCCCATAACAGGCCCCAATTACCATACTTCTTCCGCTGCATAATAATAAGTCATTTTAATTAATTTATCAATAGTCATCATAAATAAATGTGGAAATCCTGCACAGATATTCATATTTAATGCTCAGCAGTATCTTGAATAAGATTGTTTTTAATAAGAAGATATACGTGTGTAGAAAGAAAATATAATGGTTAGTTCATTAAATGTATTTTGAATTGAAAATATTTTTCAAGTTTCCCCATGCTGAAAAAAATTATGAAGATGAGAGAAAAATACAAGGAGTTATTCTTCTAGTCTTATTTATAAGGTAAAGAGAGAAGACATTTTTTTTGTCTTATGTATAGGATATTTAGAAAAATTTTCTGTATGTATATACAATTTTACCATTCATTTATTATTGTGTTGATTTTTTTATATGAGATATAATGTATATTAAATAGGAATAAAATTGAAAAGTTGTTCAATTTTAAATGATAGTTAATGAAGTTTAAGATTTTTCTTGATCTATGTAAAATATGTTAGAAGTCACTTATAAATAGGACCAGAAGAGTATATTTAATCATTAATTATGTGAATAAAATTAAAATTAACTATTAATTATTTTTAAGTGACTTATATTTTAAAGTAAATTATTGTTCCAGATGTATAACACTCATATTTTAAGTCAGGGAAATCACCTTAGGCGTGGGCGACTAATTTTGATTGGGCAAATGACCTAGGCCAGAATGGTCACGTGCATGATCAGCCGGAAAAGAAAATGAATCGGCAGGAGTTGCGGTATTTAGTTGGGCTGGGTCGGCCCATTTGACCGCACAGCCTGGACGAAGTTCCTCAATAACGTGTATCCTCCCTTCGGCGTCCCGTTTGTAAATCCCCATCGACTTCTTCGCGTGGAAGAGATCCATTGCCATTGTCTCCGGTGAGCCCTCCCCGCCCCTCTGTTTGTATTCATATCACGGCCGCAGCGGCTCTCATACGATGTATTTAGATTCGTTAAGTAATGCTTTTCTTCGGCGGTTTTCTTTGATAATTCGCTGATTAGGGTTAATTTGCGTCGCCGTTGTCAATCCACGAGAATTAGCTGCTCACTTTGTCGATCTATTTTATTTTCTTGAATTCATTGGGTAAACAATGCTAAATTGGGAACTGGATTGAAACCTTTGGTATAGAATGACGATCCTTTGGCCTGCTGAAGTTTCGTCCGATGCGATTGATCGATTTTTGGAATATTTATTAGGCGAATGAGAAGTCACAGAAGTAGGAATCCATTGCTGTTTGGTTTGAGAGAAAAATGTCTATGCAAGTTTTCTGCATGCTTTAAGGGTTTTGATTATTATGCTTGCAGAATTTTTAATATTGTAGAATTGATTGAGCAGAAATTTTGATGAGCTAGAAGCAGCTTCGATAAACTGATACTTGTGTATGAACTCGTGGTTATGGATCAAGGATGAAGTGAAACTAGCATTTAAGAATTGATAATTATAGCATTCATGCCTATATACTTAAATCTAGGATGGATTCTGATGCTTGCCTTCTATAGAGTACGTCTTTATTCAGGAAAAAAAACACACACACACACACACACACACCAGAATTCAGAAACTACAATTTCTTTGTTTGGTGCAATAATAATGGTTGAGGTAGTAATATATCTCATAGCAGATAGTTTTCTGGTTTGACGATTTCTTCTTAAGTAATAGATATATTAAAATGAACTTAATCTGATGTGAATTCCTATATCTAATTATAGTGATTGATTCCCGGGAATGGATGCCATTGTTTTTTGACTTCTGTCCTAGTTTGATATTTGATTTTACGAAACCAAGAGGTGTTGGGTCTGTTTTGGTAGAATTAAGAAGCTTGAAGACAGAAGTAAATGGCTGGACCGAGGATTGCTCATGCTACCTTGAAAGGGCCAAGTGTTGTGAAGGAGATATGCATTGGCTTCGTACTTGCTCTTGCCGCTGGCAGTGTGTGGAAGATGCATCACTGGAATGAACAGAGGAAAGTCAGGACCTTTTATGATTTACTAGAGAAAGGTGAGATTAGTGTTATTGCAGAGGAAGAGTAAACCTCATGCCTTGTGTCTGTGACATCCATTTATCAGCCATTTTTCTACTATTTGATGGGCTCTTTAAATCAGATGAGCTGAACTTATTGTAAGATTTAAAAGAATAAGTTTCATGCACTGAGTTGTGGACTATATTGTTGGCTTGGAAATTTTATGAAGTTTTGCTCTATTTTCTTTCCGTGCTTCCGTGATGCCTTTACCGCTTTCATAATTGTATTTGTTTTGTTATATTTCCTTTGGGATTTGCAACTCACTTCTAAACCAAGTGTTTGACAAGCATACAAAAAGTAATATCACAAGTCTGAGCTTTTGTGGGAATCTGAAAGAAGGTATTTATCTATCTTGAAGATATGAAACGCGGAATTCTGGGATTGGACAATAAGTTTTATGGTTGTTCCAACGGTTGTCGGTGCAATGCTTGATGATTGTTAAATAGCTCTTTTTTTCTTTTTGGTTAGCCTCAAATGACTGGTAAGTGGTTGAAGGCACCTGCTTTTTGCCTTTTCCTTTCACTTTCACTTTGAGTTGTGGTTTCCAGAAGCCTAAGTGAGTTTTGTTGAGTGACTGGACGTAACCCCGCATACATGAATGATAGTTTGGTACAAGGACGCGGGATGAACGCAAAGCTAATGCTTTGCTTGGATCCCTGAATTTAGATAAACTTTGAAGAGGAATCTGTGAGGGAAATGGTGAGATTAAGCTCTGCCCGGACGCTCAATTAGTGATGGTACTCACTTTGATTTAGAAAAGGTAAAGGATGGTTAATATTTGAATAAAATTTGACGTGGCCAGTTTGCTGGGGTGCACTAAACCTTGAGTGCTAGCAGAATCAGTGCGAGCAGCTCCTCTAATTTCCGATACCCATGATCAAGGCATTCGGTTGACCAGATGAGAGGGGCGTCTAGACTTGCTAGCTAGTTCACGTAAATTATGCGCGGAAGTAGACATGAATAGCATGTAGACATGAATAGCATCCCTGTTATGATTACATTGATAACAACAAGTTCAATATTTCAACGGAATGCTGTGAACCGTCTCCCTTGAATTCTGGCTAAATTAAGTGATGACCCTCATCAAACATTTAGCCGAAAAGGATGAGTTCAATTTCAGAACAGAAATCATTTTCACACAACTGCACAAGTGATTCTGTGATCATGGGGTTCCTATGCGGCGAACTGCCATTAGCTTTTTGTACCACCTGAATGAATATTATACCTCAGGAATGTTTCTGTTTTCAGACACGTTTTCTCAACACCCGGCTTCTTTCTGCAAGGGATTAATGTTGTACTATCTCCCGTTCTCAGTTACACTACAAACTAGTTTTTATATTTATGCATTCAAATTGCCATGCGGGGTCGCTTCTCTTCCATGTATATTATTCGTCAAACCAGGTTGCCAGTACGTACCCATCTTCCGTTGCTTTTAATTTTGTTGAAGTGAGTTCCGTGGCCTTGCATTGCAGTGCTGGAGACCAATTTTTTCATGGCCGACCAAGAAATGTAGACCAAATTAACCAATATATTTGAGAGCCCGTGTGAGTATGAACAATGAAACTAGTATGGCTTAGGAGACAACTTGCGTCGCCACAGAAAGATGCTATAAATTATTTTAGTAAAGAGAATAATTTAAGATGGATAAAAAGACTTCTAATAAAAAAGTCGAATTTATATTTATTTTAATCATTTTCAGGCCAACAAAAGTATTTCTTTCAATTATTTGACTGTTTTATTTATTAGTTAGGTATTTCCTTTCCTCACCATCTACATTACTATTCGAGCGTGGTTTTTTTTCCCTAGAAATCCTTCTAATGGGAATTCGTTTATATTTTTTTTATTCCAAAAATTAATTTGTGCACCATCAACACTTTTATATTAACTTTAAGACTTGAAAAAAAAAAATATGTTTTCAAGTTTGTGTCCTATTATTGACAGTTATTGTTGGGCAATTAACATGTGGGTGGCGGAAAATACAGGAGCGTGTAGAATGCAGATGGACGGTTGATATTTTCACCTGCAGACAAAAATTTAGTAGACAAATGGCATCAAACGTACCAAAATATCAAGATTTTTCCCTTTTTTTTGACTCCTCCACGCACTCGTAGATCTTCCTCCCTCCCGCGATACATTAGCCGACGGAATCCCAGTTGTGGCCTCCTATCATCCCCTGCATGTGGAAGTTCCAAAAAAAAGATTTTTCATTCTTTTCCCGCAGCAAAATATCTCAACACGATTCCACGTGGCAACACATAACTGGTCGTCACATGATAAGAAGTTTGTGATTTTTAAAACCCGGCTGCCAGGCTTCATCTATATATCTGCATGTCTTCAATTGCCTTCTCCCCATTAAATATCAACTCAAGAGAGGAACAAGAATGGCAACAATAAGCGGTGTGAGCCTTTCAAGTCCGAGAATTGTGCCCAGGGCATCCGACTCGTCGCAAAAGTCACACACCGTCAACTTCCCGCTGCTACTCGCCCAAAGGTGTCCGGCCAAGTTTGGTTCCGGGCGAGTACTTGCTTCCGTTCGACCCGTGCGTGCTGCTCCAGAAGGAATATCGGGCAGTGTTGAAGAAAGCATAAAGAACGCGGAGGAGGCATGCTCGGGTGACCCGGCGGGCGGTGAATGTGCGGCGGCATGGGACGAGGTGGAGGAGCTGAGCGCGGCGGCCAGCCACGCGAGGGACAGGAAGAAAGAATCCGACCCACTTGAGAACTATTGCAAGGACAACCCGGAGACCGATGAATGCCGCACGTACGATAATTGATAGCCGCATGTATGTGAAAGTCATCGGTGGTGATCATGTTAGCTTTGGTATATATATTAAAAAAAAAAAATCATATCATCTTTGTCTGTTACATTGTATAAGCACATAGCTATTAATTATTATTTGAGCGTGAAATAATCAGTAACTCTTATCTCTGCGATTTTTTTAATGTTTATTTTGGTGAAAAAATACTCTGACTGACTTTAATATAATAGCTAGTTTGACTTTTAATTTGATTTTAAATATAAGACTTCAATATATTTTATCTCTAATATTTATCTATTTTACTCTCAATTAATTTTTATAATAATTGCATATGTTAAAAAGTTACTATCAACGGAGAATTCAAATACACATAATTAATAATGGTATTTTAGAAAAGATAACATTTATTTGCTACAAATAACTAACTTAACTAACTTCTTTAATATCTTCGAGTTAGTTAAATAGATCTTATACTACCTCCAGTCCTAAATATAAGAGCTAGTTGACTAATTTGAGTTAATTAAGAAAATAAGTTAAGTTAGTTATTTGTTATAAATAAATGTTCTATTTTCTAAAATACTCTTGCTAATCAAGTATATTGGTTAGAATTATTATTATTAAAAGGATTATCTTGAGAAAAAAAAATATGAGAGACAAAGTGGATTGAAGTCTTATATTTAAAATCAAAATTAAAATTAAATAAGGTCTTATATTAAAGGTAGTATTAAAGATTAGGTAGTAGTAAAAAAGATCATTTTATATATAGTAATCCGATTACTTACTTGCCTGATGATTGAAACTGGTGAAATTGCTCCCCGCAACGGCTGCTTCACTGAGAAACTTGTATGGAGAGCAAGCGGTTCAAATTCAACCTTCAAAGTAATCCTTTTGGTGAGACTTACTTGGGAGTTTCAAAATTTGAGGAGCTTTAGATGAGGATCCTCTCCCGTTATCTCTACTTCACGTTTGCTACCTTGTTAATATAAGCACATGACCATAATTCATAAGCAATTCCCCATCTCTTCAAGGGCTCATGGCAACTTCTGGGTGCAGTAGGCATGGCCCGAGATATGAATGCTTTTATTTCTCTTGATGTAAAGGGGAAACACTGGCAACTTCGCGTGCTCTAGATATTAGGAGGGATTCGACTAATAATCTAATAAAAAAATGTTTATTATTATTATTATTATTCAATCACGTCTTGAGTTTGAATATTACAAATACAAAATATGTTTTTGGAGAGTTACTCTTATAAAGAATAGCGAAACATGATATTAATGCTTGGCAAAAATTTTTAAATAAATTCTTATTTTTTAACGAAAAAAAAAGTAAGCACTAACACCCTAAAATAATAAACAGGATTGAACCTCTTAAAAGGAGGGATTAGAAAAAAGGGGGTTGCCGAGTATCCTTTCCCTTCAGGTCAGGGGAGGTTTGACCTGAGATAAAGCAATGCAGAGGAAACATGTACCAGTATGATATTTGGCGGTGGTAGTTTAACCCCTTCTTTGCCAATCAAGACACGCTAGCCGTCTATTCTTTCCCCACCACGGTTTAGCTAGACAACTACCCCAACAATAAAATTAATTCATAACTTCTATCAAATGCTTTTTATTGAATCATAATCATTATGGCTGCAACATTTTGAAGATTCATGAATCTAATTACATTGAATATGACTCATAAAAGAAGCTTCTGAATAATCTACAAGAATACTGGAATCCGCTCGAAGGATACTTTACTATGGTACCCAGCTCGCTTTGCTTGGTAATATTATGTAAACAGCTTACTACCACCGACACTACTAGAGGCACCATCTTCTTATTTTAAGAAATTATCCGTGATGATTGATAAAGTCATACAGTTTTTCGGATCCATTCGTTTTATTTCCCAAATGGCATGACTGTTTTACGTCTTAAGTTGTTAAAGCCGCGTTTTATGGAGGCTAAATGGAGAGGATGAGCGAATAGGTTCACGGGAATATCGGAATCAACTCGAATGATACCTCGCTGTCGTTTCCCAATCCATTCATTTTAATTCCTAAGAAGCTCTTTGCAAATTGGATGAAGGCGCACTGTCAATCGAATGATGATAGCTTCAAACATATGATTCTGTATTTTATTGAATCAACTCCATCGAATGATGAAATCTCCTCTTAACATCCACTTGAGCTAGTCGCTTTGGTAGATTCTGTTTAATGAACTTTCTAACTCGCAGCACAAACTGGCGCTAATTTAAATCCAGGAAATTTCAGAAATTGAAAAGCAAAATATGAGAAAAATGTATAGAAAACCTCGTCATAGCAAACGCATGCTTGATTCGTCATGACTTCAACGTAAAACACTACCTTGATGTCTCAGAACTGAACGATATTTCAGAGCAGTGCGACTGATACAGACTTCCAAATCACCATTGGAGTGCTATAATGAACAACCATTGGTCAATACACGTTATTTTGCTGGTAAAGACAGAACATACATAGAAAATAATAAATTAAAAGAACATAAAAGCACGCATATTTCACAAGCCCAGACAACACAGCACCAATAATCTACGAACCACACCGACAAACCACAGGAAGAATGACAAAAGCACTCCTAATATTTTGACTTCACTGGCTAAAGAAACCCAACAGAGAACTAACAAACCCAACAGAGAACTAACAGACTCATCAGAACCCAACAGAACAATTGAAATACATCATACCAACAGACAACTCGGAAGGGATAAATGACTAAATGCACAAAATAAGGAGCCTCAGGTCAATGCAGGCCGAAGTCTGACGAAGCTGTGATCGGCTGTATCGGATAAGGAAGCTGCCATGGCTTCAGGAGAGGATCTGGTATCTCGGGGATCTCAACAGAAAGCCCGCTGACCTCTTCAGCGATCTCAAGTATTGAGTTCAGAAAGCGCAATCGTTCGAACAACTCCATAGTCTGCGCCCTAAGGACAGTGTTCTTGGATTCCATCTCATTGTATGCGTCCTCCTTTTCCTTTATGTTCTGCACTAACTGACTGTTTGCACTTTGCAATCGGCTGATCTCATTGGTCAGATCTTCCAGTTGCTTCTGCTTCTTCATCCGTGATCGCCTCGCCGATTCACGGTTAGACTGCATCCTCTTTCTCTTCCTCTCGTCCACAACATCAGATCTTGGGTCATCAGATCCCGAACTTGCTGGACGGTGATTCGAAGCCATTTTCCTAAAACTCAAAAAAGGGCTTTCCTAATCGAATAACTTACTCGAATGGGTGACGGTTGATAATTAATCGAAACTGGATTGTGAGATCTAATGGTCAAAATACAAAATAAAACAAGGAATCAAACACCGAAGGCGAGAAATCAAGGGATTGACAGGTAGTTCATGAGAAAACGTAGAACCAGTACAGAAACACAACAGAGAAGGAGTGCAGCAAACGAAATCGACGCATGGCGTAGGTCACAGAAACTCCGAAAACATTGATGTGATCTGCAAAGGCATATGCCCTCAAAGCACAAATCAAATCCAATCAAACGATGACAAACACCCGAAACCCTAGGTCTGAGAGAAGCCTGACTATCAAAGACCCGATCTTTCGAGAAGGACAATAATCAAAGCAAATGAAAGAGATGGTGAGAAGAAAAAGAGAAACAGAGCGGACAAAACTACGGCCGGGCGGGAGTTGGGCGGAACGCAAAATGGGGGCTAGGTAAATGGGGAGAAAGAAGGCTTCAAATGCCGTCGACGGGAGAATTTTATAGATCAGAAGAGGCAAGGAAAACGTGGAACGCACTAGAAGGGTTGAGGTTGATTATTATTATTATTTTTTAAATCAAATTTCAATTACAATGCGGATCTTGAGGAATTATATTTATGTAGAAAGGCTGGCTCAAAAGGAAAATAAAGTCCAGGCGGACATAACCAACGACGTCGTTCGGTGTAATGGCTTTTCTTGCCGTACAGTGATAAACAGGGCGCACGGTGGTTTACTCTGTTTTTTTTTTTTTTTGAGCAAAACGGTGGTTTACTCTGTTTGACTGCGTTCAATTGAGGTATTAACCGGTAGCATTTCTTTCTCCTTCCTTCCCCAGTACAATATACAGGACTACCGGACTACCGCCCCGGGCGGACCTCGTTGAACAAAACAATTTCAGTTCACAGATCGGTGCAGTGTCTGCACAGATTAGGTCGAAGAAAAGAGGAAAATGGGGACCGATGAAGTATCGTTAAACGATAAAGCTAAGCGAACGAGAGATCTTCTCTCTAGTTTCTACTCTCAGGACCCTTCCGTGTCGTCCAACTCCAGCATTGGCTCGTCCAGATCCCTCACTCTTGATGACATCAACTCCACCTCCTTCGATCCTGATCACTATATGAATAACCTGGTAATTCTCATTCTAATTGATATCAACCCCCACCCCGGGAGTGTCTTTTGTGGTCGAAATTGAACTGTTTTTTTTCTCACGGAAATTGAGGAAGAAAGTGAATAGGATTATTGCGAGTCGTTGTAACGGTAGAATGAATTTGAAGTTGGAGTACGAAGTGCTTGATTCTCTTGTGCATTTATCGGTAAATTATGAAGGTACACAAGTCGAATTTGGAAGGTCTGCTCCAGAGGCATGTTGAAATGGCGGCTGAAATAAAGAATCTTGACACTGATCTGCAAATGTTGGTTTACGAGAATTATAACAAGTTCATCAGCGCCACAGATACAATAAAGAGGTTTTCTTTTTCCTAACTATTATTCCTCCTTTTTGCGCTGCTTATTATTTTTCTAATTTATGCTTCTTTTTGGTGGGGAAATGACTGCTTACGAACTTTTGATACATGAGTTACATGACATACGGTTTCCGAATCGCGCTGTCTACACTGTCATTCAAATGCTCATACAAATTTCCTTTCCTTTTGTCATTAAAAAAAAAAAAAATTCCTCCCTGTTCTTGGTGTGTGTCTCTTGCGTTTCAATAACTTGTTTCATTTATTTCTTCTCGGAATGTTTGATACAATTTGGTTTGCCAAACAGGATGAAAAGTAACATTTCCGGGATGGAGGCAAATATGGAACAGCTTCTTGAGAAGGTAAGCGCAGCGTCAATTTTTCAATCATGGTTTACTTGTTCTTTCTGAAAAATCAAAACAAAAAGTGTTTTTGATTTGATCCTATTTTTTTATCTCCAATGCAGATAATGTCTGTGCAATCGAGGAGTGATACTGTTAACACTTCTCTTTATGAGAAAAGAGAGCATGTAGAGAAATTGCATCGGACTTGCAATCTTCTTCGTAAAGTTCAGGTATCAAAGCAGTGACACAGCTTTCCTATTCCACGTCATTGTAGAAAAATCTCATAACAAAGAGGTTACCCCAAATTGACCATTCAACTCCTTGCCATTCCATCCCTTGTAATTCATCCATCCAAACATAGTTTTAAACTGAGCATATCAGTATTTGCATTATGCTTGTCAACTTTGATTTTAGTTGTTTTGGCCCTTTGACTAACACACTTTTCATGTTGGTGTAAGAGCAGTTCATATATGATCTTCCTGATAGATTAGGAAAATGCATCAAATCAGAGGCCTATGCAGATGCAGTCAGGTTCTACACTGGAGCAATGCCAATCTTTAAGGTTGTGTGGGGCTGGCATGGTTTTTTTATTGTCAATTCAATCCATTCACTTGTTTTTGTTTACATTTAGCAAATATCAATTTCTTTAGAAATAAATGTTAGCGTGTATTTGTCACCTGAAAAAAAATATTGACATGGTTCACATAACGTAATAAATCTGCTGCTTTGACGAGACAACTCTTGTTTCTGTTTCCCTTGTGGGCTTGTGGCAGGCATATGGAGACTCATCGTTCCAAGATTGCAAACGAGAATCTGAAAAATCAATAGCCATCATAATAAATAATTTGCAGGTACAGTAATTTCTACTTATTCTATTAGGCTCTCCATGCATGAATCAAAACATAAGAGGAGAGACAACTGTGAATGTTTTCACATGTTGCTTGATGTTGCAACAATCATTTTCCTTGCAATCTCCAGGATTATTCAGTAGTCAATTTACTAATCTTTTACTAATCTCCAACAATCATACTCAGGTTTTGTTTCTGATTCTACTATTTGATGGTAATTCTATAAGCCTGATTTCTCTTCATTGGTTGTTGGCATCTGGACCATGTAAATAATGCATTGCTTATACTTTAATATCGATCTTTGGAGCTACAATAATCCTGGGATAACTAACGTTCATTCTTGCAATAAGGTCTGAGCTATGGTGTTGAGATTTTATTTATGAGAGAAGTCCTCCTGTTAGCAGCTGAGTAGAATTTCATTGATGTGTGGGGGTCCTGGAATTGTAACATGTAGTGGACTTTGGTTTCATTACTGTTTTTCTTGGATTTGGAAGATAAATAAAATAAAGTAGAGTTGAGAGATCTTCTAAAGTGAGGTCTGTGTTTATTTATATTCTGTCAGCATTAATACTGTAAATTCTGCTATTTCCTCTAGGCTGATTTTGAATTTTTAAGGAAATGGGTATCACTATTTCCCCCCTTTGATATTATCCAACCATCCTGTCCTTGTTTTCTTCATTTTGATTTAAGAGTTCTTGAAAATACAGTGAATTTAGAAACTCGTGATATCATTATGAATTCCAAGCTGATGGTCATTGTGTTTCTGAGAACTGAGAAGCTTGTCACTAAAATTTGACATTTTTCTCAATAACCAGGGTAGGTTATTTTCCGATTCAGAATCCATGCAAGCAAGATCTGAGGCTGCAGTGCTCCTTAAGCAGCTGGACTTTCCGGTTTGGCACTCTTTTCCGTTTCCTTAAAATTGCACATTTAATGTCATTGCAGCCAAGTAGATATTTCTTTTTCTTCATACTACTCTTCCATTCCTCCTAACCACCTCCCTCCCTCAATGGAATTACCCATTTAACATCTTCTGAGTTCTAGAGGAAACGTGCTGTTAAGAAATGATAGATAAATATCACTTTTGCCTCTTTCTTTTTTTTTTTTTTTACATTGGCTATCATCTAAAAATTTACGGTTAGAAAGATGAAGGCTTTTTTGGTCATGTAAAATCTATCCGCTCCTTGCATATATTGCTCAGAATTTTGAAGATCAACCGTGGGAGGGAATAATATTATATTAAAGTATTCACTATTCAGGGTCATATTCATAATTCATATGCAGTATCTTTCCACTACTGGCAGGTGGAAAATTTGAAGGCAAAGCTACTTGAGAAGTTGGAACAGTCTATTACAGACATTCAACTGAACCCAGAAGAGATAAACAATGCTTCAACCGATCCTTCTCCTTTTGCTTCTGCTCATGAGGTTAGAAGCATGATACATCAAGCATCATAGTGATAGTATTCTGTTGTTCAATGCCATTTTCTCCCCCTCAAGATGTTGTTGCTATCCTATCTTTGGCTAGACAAGATGTTCAATTTTAGTGCGTGTACTTGTGATGGCTGATGCAGCTATTGCTAGGGCCATGTTATGTGTCTGGAACTTGGACTTAGGTTTTCCTTGTTATTGTTTTCCATCCAGCATTAATATCCAAAAATGCATGTGTCTTTCTCTCAATATAGGCAGCTGTTCAAGAGTTTGTGGAGGCAGTGCATGCTTTTCGAGTAATATTTCCTGATTCAGAAAAGCAATTGAACAATCTGGCTCAAGACTTGATCACCAAGTTTGTAACCTCATCTACAATATGAAGTATCTTTATCTCCTGTACAATTTCACCTAATACACAATTTTCTTGATGAAATATTTTTAGGAACTTTATAGTTATTGAGGAATATGTAAAGAGACGAATTTGTGCAGCTGATCTACTTGGGGTTCTACGTAAGTAGCTTGATTCTATTGACGCTCCTGTGTTTCTCTGGATTTCTACTTGATTGCTAAAAGTTGATGATTTGTATACTTGAGTCTCTCCTTGAGTAAGAGTCAATGGCCTTTGACTCATTAGTCTATGATGTGATACTTGATTAGTTCTTCATTTCAACAGTCATAACATGTTTTTCCAATTTATAAGTAGTAGTAGTAGTAGTATTATTGTTATTATTATTAAACAAGAGGGAGTCGGAGTTGAGAGTTTTTCTTTGAAGCATTCACACACACTAGTCAACCTCCTGTATACGTAATTACGTAAAATGCACGACATGTAGTATGATGTGGTAAGCGTTGTACAAGAAGAATGAGATTAGAGTTAGGGTTATAAGAGTGGCTAATAGAGAGAGGGGGAGATGAGGAAATTTCTTTGAAACACCGACAATCTGACACATGCTATTCAATCTCGTGTTGATAATTATGATAAAATATTTGGCATGTTGACACTGGAAATATTGTACATCTCGAGGGGATTAGGCCCAAAGTAATTCATTGTTATTAATATTCCATGCTTGGCTAATGTGAAATGCATATTGATTAGAAGAGAAGGTTATCATTTCCTGGACGGTAGGCTTGTGTGACTATTGATCAGATCGTTTCTTCTTGAACTCATCAGTGGAATAGCCCCAACACCCCCCCCCCAAAAAAAAATCGTGAATGTGCGTAATTGTTTTTGTTTCCTCTAAGTGCTGACACTGCAAGCATCTGCTTAGTTTTGTACTGCTTCTGGAAGCCTTTTTAATTCGATGGAATGGATCTTTAATAATGCCCTTTTGATGATGTGAATCATGACCTTAGCAAGAAGTTTTTAATCTACATTTTGCATCCAGAGGCATTGCA